TTTATATGGCTGGCTTCATCATCCCTTTCGACCACCTTAGAACACTTGCATCAGTTCGATCATGCATGCATCGTGGCATACCCCGTGCAACGTATTACTATTCGAGAATGAATTGTTACCAATATTTTCATATTCCCGTTGGTACGTCCTCTCTTGTTACTAGATAATTATCCACTTATTAAATTATTTATTTCATCCTCAAAAAAACCATCTTTATACCATTCATATCACAGTCGCTCACTTTACAAAGGGTAGGTAACAAGTAAATTTTAGGAACACTTATATTAATGTGAAATTTTAATATTTAATTTGCATCCTGGTCATAACATTTATGCGACTTTACAGCTGTTATTAACGCCCAGAACTGTTGGGATTTTGTTTGTTGGCAGATATATGACTGTTGACGAAATCTTCAGAGGATGCATTTCAAGCTACTTGGTGCTGTGTATACAGACGTGGTTGCTAACATAATCTCTGGGAACTCGGAAAAATAGTTTTGACATGAAGTCAGAATGGACTTAATGAAAATACTGTGATCATTGTGTAAGCTAAGATTACTATATATTACGGCTCACTTGATTGAACAGCCGAAGATCAGTAGGACAGAATCATCATAAATCAACTATGTCAAGAGTCACTTATGTTATGATACGGCAAATAGTGCCACCTCTTTTAAAGTCGTCCCATGTTGGGAAAAGACTCAAAAAATGCGGTCATCTACGTTTACGACCCTAGAAACGAAGTAAGCAAATGAGAGTCGAAATATGAAATTGTCTACAATCATAAATTTATCGAAACGGTATATTATATGTATATGGTATTGCTTTATTTTTAAAGATTTTTATGGGATTGACAACTAACTGTTGGTTTCCAATTTTCAGCTGGACTCATAAATGTTGTGCTAGTTTATTGATTCGTAATATATTCTTTCACAGAAAGTTACCGGGACTTGTGTTATTTCACAGGTTATTATTATTATTATTCACAAACATCTCATGAGTACATAAGTGCTGTGAAGAAACCGTTTCGGGTTTCTTCAAAAAATGCAATAATACACAATTTTCAATAATGTTAGCATTATATTTGCCATATTTAAAAAAATTTAGAGTAAGAGTAGTAGAATATTAATAATAATAAGTCGGGTCTGTGTAATTGAGAAGAATATTGAATTGAGTTTAAAGAAGGAAATGGAGAAAATAAGGGAATAGAAATAAAGGAGACGTGAAATACGCAAACAGTCTAATAGGCGTGTTTACGAACACAGAACAAGAATAAACGACTATGTGTGTATCGTCAAATTAGTAACAAAAAATAATTAAGAAAAAATAACTTATAATTGCAGTAAGATATGACGCTAGAATAAATGTTTGTGCAGTCATAGTTTGGAGTGATGCGATGAAAGTCTCAATTGAGTGAAATATCAATATGTATGAGCCATATATGCATAGTGAAGATAAAACGGGTCTGAGAAGTTAATTTAAGTGTAACACAAGTTATTGTTTTAATTACAAACTTCGTAATCTTAAGAATAATATTTATTTAGAGGGAAAGAAGAGAGAAAAGAAGTGAACACCTAGTGAAAAGTTTCATCCATGATAAGAATAATAATTGCGTAATGAATATCAACCTCAGAAGGAAACCAACAATTTAGAAAAATAAAATAAAAATCCTTAATGCACTCGGATGAATACATTTAGATTTATGTAATAGTATACAGAGTGAAACCGGATATTAGTATAAATATTTGTGCAATAATAATTAAGAATGATGCTATGAAAGTCACAATTAATTTCAAAGGACAGTCTGGAATTAAATATGTTGAGAAGGATAAGAAGATACAAAAGGAATATCTAATGTGTAATAATTATAGAAACGAACATAAGCAGACTTCATATATTAAGATAAATAGAAATAAAATAAAATAGATGTGGAAAGATTTAAAGGTTTTATTTTGCTTTTCAAGCAATTAAATGGATGACGGACCTTGTTTGTATAAATCATTATTGAATACATTGATATTCAATAGGTGACATAATCCACTTTCGGAAAGAAAATCGTCAAGGAGACTTTTGAACCGGGTTGTAGTTTCACTGCAACGGAGGTTCACTGGCAGTCTGTTCCACATGGTTGAGTAGCGAATAAGGAAAAAATTCTGACGTAAGTTTGTGTGGGTTCTTGGAATCGCTAGAATATTCTCCTTATTGCGTAGATTGTGGGATGATATCATAAGGTATGAAGGGGTGGATACCGAAGAGTAGGAAATACCGTTAATAAGCCGGTAGATAAAGACAAGATTTAATTTGATACGTCTGATCCAAAGAGGCTCTAAGTTGAGTTGTTGACATCTTTGGTAATAGTCTTTGTTATCGGAATACCGCAGAACAGCTTTAGTGAACCTTCTTTGAACACCTTCAATTCTAATCAGGTCAGTATGTCTACAATTACTGTAAACTAAAATACCATATTCAAGAATGGGTAAGATACATTTTCTGTATAGTAACAATCTCGATTCGATATTATTGAAGTTTATCATTATCAATCCGATGAGCTTTCTAGCTTTGGATACTTGAGATATAATGTGTTCAGAAAAGTTCAGACTGTTGCTATATCTTAAACCCAGGTCACGAACAGTGTTAAGAGGTTTGAGTGTATGTGTCTGTACAGTCAGATTTAAGTTAAGACAGCGACCAATGTGAATAAATCCACTTTTGTCAACATTAAGTGGCATATTCCACGAAATAGTCCATTCGTACAACTTGTTTATTTCCTCTTGGATTACCGCTGAAATATAGCTTTCTTTCATGGGAGAAGAGAACGAATAAACTACTTTCAGGTCATCAGCAAAAAGAAAAGGCTTACCATACTGAAAGAGGGAACACACATCATTGATAAAAAGGAGAAAGAGTAATGGACCAACCACACTTCCTTGTATAACCCCGCTGGTTACATTCACAGGTTTAGAGTAGCATGATCCAAAGCGAACGATTTGGCTACGTTCTTCTAAAAAAGATTTGAGCCAAGATAAAAGGGGATTCTGTATGCCAAATGAAGAGAGTTTTAAAAGAAGAAGTTTGTGTGAGACACTGTCGAAAGCCTTACTAAAATCGAAGTAAAGAATTATCACTGACTGACCAACATCTCTTTTCTGGGTAATTTGATCAAAAAACTCCAGGTGCGATGTGAAACATGAGCGTTTAGTCATAAACCCGTGTTGGGATGGGCTGATCAGACTAGCCGAAAGTAAAAATGATAGTAGCTGTTTGTGGATGATTTTTTCCATGGTTCTTGAGAGCACGGATGTCAAATTAATTGGCCTATAGTTAATAATATCACTACGTGGTCCTGTTTTGAATCTAGGGGTGATAAGGGATGTTTTCCATACAGATGGATAGGTCCCATATTCCATAGATAGATTGAAAAGTTTCAAACAAAATAGTGGAAATTCCCTACTTCCATATTTCACAAATGATGAAGGTATCCCGTCAGGTCCACCATCATAAGACTTTTTCAGGGCAGCTATGGTTCAATATCACTCCTATTACGTGTATGATTTTAGTGTTTTATCGGAACAACTGAACAGTACAGCATTATTGGCTAATCAGTATGCGTTTTAGACTGCACTGTTTTGTTAAATAGTGACATTCTAAGCAAGTCGTTATGTATATTATTTTTGTATACTATTGATTCCTGTTTAGATCAGATTATCATTATTATCAGCTTTATTCAATATTATATTTTTGGTACGATATAGAATTCTCAGCGCAAAGTATTTCAACAAGTTTCCGTTTCTTTCTTCTTGGTCGGTCCTGGTGATAAATATTGTGTGGTCGCCAGTTAGATGTTAGCAGTTCACTGAATGAACATCTGAATAATGTGCATTCTTTTCGTTGTATATTGCCAGCAACCACATTGTCTCTTATTAAGTTTTTTGTAACTTTGACAACAAAAGGTTGTACACTTTTTAGAAACGCAGCAGAATAGGTTATGCGATTAATAGACATAACGATATATTAAAACAAGCAAAAATAGATAACTTGTTGAAATATCTAGATGGCAGGAACAGGTAGCCCAGATGCTCAAGCAGGCACTTCATTAGGAATATATTGGGCACAGTAGACTCCGGTTAATTACAAATTTGGTCTTTTTCAGTTTACTGTGTTAACCGTTTGCTTTGCTTAACCATCTGGCCGTTTCTTTCATTTTTAAAGTTACTCAAAGTTTGCAGAATACTGACCAAAATGTTGATAAATAAACAGTATAACTCCATAGCATTAAATACGAGTGTTGCGACAACCGACAGTGCAGATAGGTTTGTTTACGAAACGGTGATATATTAAAAAACTCCGCCACTACTGCATTAAATGACGATACTGTGCATATAAGTAATTTGGTTAAGGATCAAGAACAGCCCACACATAGCAATAAATTGAACTTCGCAATTGACCATGAAAATTTAAAAAAATAATTACTTGATGCCACTTTGTCTTACCGAACTCCTTAACTGCGACGTATTATCCCAAATCCAATGTTAATCGTTGTTGGCATCTCTTATATGTCTGTCCAGCAAGAGGACGAGCTACTTCTTATTGTGCCTTGACCTTACTCTAGGCTGGAAGAATGTATGACGTAAATCTTGTTACGAAATTTATATAATGTTCGAAGTGCTCATATTCGTAAATAAACCAAAAGACCGATGAGAAAAACATCACCTCATTATAATGGGGAAGCAGTAAGACTACATTATTAGTAAAATGTGATTATGATGAACGTTTTTATGAGACAGGTATCTCGTTACCTAAATATGTGACTGAAAGCTCATCTGTGAACTCTTTTGAAAAGAAGATAAATCAGTTGAGAGAACAGTATTGTCATGAATAACACAGGCCACTAAAGAGTCTTGTCTTTGCAAAACTGATAGTGGTTTTTGAACTTTTAACTGTGTGCAGTTTTTCTGTATAGTTAAGGTTACCCGCGCAACTCAGTTGTACCGCGTTAAAGTTATGAACCGGATCTTCGGACAAGCTAAACCGAAACAGCCCCCTCCAAATCTGACTGATGTGATTTCCAATGTGATTGCGTCAAAATTTGAATAATTAGGTATTTTAGGTAGATAGTCGGGCCGAATCTGTCGATAAAAAAATCGATAAACTGGATGAGGAACTTAAAAAATATAAACTACAAATGCAAAAGATGAGAGACGGTCCTGCAAAAGAGAGCGTTAAAATGAAGGCTTTAAGAATTTTAAAGCAAAAGAAGGTGTATGAAAATCAAAAGGAACAACTTTCCAACCAAAGTTTTAATATGGAACAGACAAATTTTGCTATCCAGACCGTGCGTGATACCAAAGTTACAGTGGATGCCATGAAAGTCGGTGCCAAAGAATTAAAAGTGGAGATGAAAAAAATTAACCTAAATAATGTGGAAGTAAGTCCACTAATATGGATGTATCTGGTACCATTTGCAATTTTATAGTCTATAGAAATCTTTGCGGGAAGCAATATCTTTAGGATCATACGTGTGTGTCAATGGTTTATTCATTAATTTTGTACCAGAGGCACTTGTCTATAAAAGTAAATTTACGCCGTTAGTATCAAACAGTTTTACCTAAGACCATGCTAGTCATACTTCGTTGAAGCTCTCCTCCTTTTCCGTCCATCGAGCTAAATGTAGCTAACACCATATATGGACCTTTGAGCGACACAACCGACTTTAAGAGTGTTCACCTAATAACTAAGGCCAAACGAGGGTTGTAAATTAGTATAAGGAAGTCGAATGATGATTTACAGTTGACGGTTAAGGTTTGAAATTAAATTTAAGGTTTTAATCACGAACTAACATCAGCTATGATGTCATGACTTTAACCAAATGGATGAGCGAATTTCGCGCCAAAATCCGTTTCCTGTTATCGTATACCTGATTGGTTCGTCCATAGATTGTAGTCTCTCCATACGAACCTGACGGAAACGTTTTGTTATAACTGTGGGTTGTTACGTGCGGTAAGAGCTTTAGAACACAACACTAATTGATATATGCTTTCAATTCAGCTATGAACTAAATTCTTTATACTTCTGGATGCATGTTCGACTAATATCGAAGTTATTAAAATATATATACATATACCATTCGAATAAGACTAGAGATTCAGTCTGGTGAATAGAAATATTGGATCTATCCTAAAGAATTACGAGTATTAATTGCCAAACTTAACATCACACCTAAGAGAAGTCAGCTAGATTATTGTAGAATCATAAAGAGTCAATTAGAAGGGTTATAAAATTCAAACAATTCAGGTAACCGAGATACATTTTTCAAGAGCCAAGTCACAAATTACTCGTATGTGTGATCCTCGCTTCATCATGATTTGGCTGAAAAAACTGCAGACTGAAACATGCGACCAACTCTTGGAGTTGCTTATTGTTGGTCTTGCAGATATCAGAAGGTTTACTTTCCATACTAGGTCTTCAAGACGCCCCTGGCCATTGCTGCTACCTTAACGTGGTGGTTGCGTTTGCCTGACGCGATAAACCAATTGGGCTATACTGGCCGGAATTATCGTATCTCAAGGTCCTACCATGCCAGACAGGTCGGTTGGAGTACGGTAAGATAAAAAGCAGCAATCCCTTGGTCGGACAGCGAAGTCATACTGCTGACTGTACAGAGATGTGACGGCTGAAGACGAGAAACAGTCAGTAGCAAAAGATGTAGAGTGATGCTGTGAAAATGAGTGCATTCACACAATTTCAGCCGTATCTGAGCTTTATTACTTAGTTCTTAATAAGTGAATATGGTTGTCTGACACCAACTAAAAATATTACGCATGTCAAGACTTAATACTGAGTCCGTTGACTAATTTCCTCTCTTGACCTAATATTTTTCAAGGTTTTGTCTGTTTCACTATCTCTCGTTGTCTTTCATATCTGATATTATGGTGAGAAATATTATAGAGAATTAAATGTAGATATGTCTCCTCCAGCTTTTGCATAGTATGTGGTATGGTCTATAGAGCTACCTTGACTAATGTATTCTAACATCAAATTGAAACTTCTAAACCTCATTTAATGCAACATGACTTAGTGGCTTATGATTAGTCAGGAGCAATTTCATCCAGGAGACTAGTTAGAAAATAACTTATTTATTTATTTATTTGAACACATAAATATTGGTACAAGAGAGCGCCAATATATATGCGCCACACAAAACAATGAGAATTCGAAGAGAAAGAAAAAAAGGTGAGGAGCGTGAAAAAAAGAGAACAATAACGAAGAGGTTGGTGTAAGGTAGTGTAGTAATAATAATAGTAATAATGAGGGAACGGGAAGGTACAATCAGAAAAAATCTTTCAGGTAAGGGAGACAGAACCACTTTTTATGAAGAAAGTAAAAGAAGGTTACAGCAGGATCGCCACTGGCTTCTATTCTGAGCCATATCTGATAACGTCTCTAGCCACTGTGTAGCACCATCTCTCAGACCCCAACCAGGGAGTCGTGAAGGACCAACACAAGCCAGCTCTTTGCAGCTTTCTTTCATACCACGACACCATTTCATACACTGACCACCTCTCCAACCAGTCCCAGAGTCGGCAAATAATGCACGACGTGGAATCCTCTGGGACGACATTCGGAGAACATGTCCAAGCCACCGAAGTCGGTGTTTCAAGATGGTGACACCAATTGAATTATCATCTCTGTGCCCGAACACACGATGCCGAACCTCTGCATTACTGACATGGTGTTGCCACTGAATGTCAGCAATCCTTCGGAGACAGCGATGATCGAACACAGAGAGTCGTCTAACGTCCTCAACTCGGAGAGGCCAGGTTTCACAAGCATAGAGCAAAACTGCTCTCACCGACGCGTTGTAGATCCGACCTTTTACAGCCAGACTAACATCACGAAGGCGCCAAAGGTGGCCCAGATTGGCATAAGCCGCTCTGGCTTTCACTATACGTGCATTGATCTCATCACTCAAGCCACCACCAGCACTTATGCAGCTACCCAGATACACGAACTTCTCGACTACTTCTACTATCTGCTCACCATCCAGGGTGAGTACAGGATTAGAATCCTGCCAGTCTTGTAGAAGTACTTTGCACTTCGAAGGTGCAAAGCACATACCATACCTACGGACACTGATTGCCAACTGATTAAGTGCGGATTGCATGCCTTGGGCATTCTCGCACAGTAAGACAATATCATCCGCATACTCAAGGTCGAGAAGTCTTTCTCCAGGCAACAGATCCACACCGCCATTACTTACATCCATCAGAGCTGTTTCCAGAATGTCATCGATGGCAAAGTTGAAGAGGAATGGTGAGATTGGGCAACCCTGCCTAACCCCACTGCTCGAATGGAACAATGGAGAGAGGTGGTTGTATGCCCTCACTCTGCCTGAGGTGTTTGTATATAGGGCTTTTAGGATGTTAATAAACTTCTCAGGCACACCCTTCTTCAATAGACAATCCCAGAGAACAGTTCTGTCCAACGAATCGAAGGCAGACCTGATGTCAAGAAACACTACGATTGTTGGCCTTTGATAAGTATGACGGTGTTCTAACATTTGGCGGAGGGTGAAGATATGATCAATACATCCTCGACCAGAACGAAACCCAGCCTGCTCCTCGCGAGTCAATCTTTCTCGGGTTTTGAACAACCTACGAAGTATGACGGAAGCCAATAGCTTGGACGCAATCGGAAGTAGACTTATCGTCCGATAGTTGTTACAGGAACGACGTGAACCCTTTTTAAAGATAGGGACAACTATCGACTCATTTCATGAGGTGGAATCCGCCTCATTTGGTGGGTCAGTCGTCACCGACCATGGAGGGCAGGACAGTCTGACCGATGTTGCTGGAGCAGCAGGCCAGTTGAACTGCCCTTCGAAAAATTCTGCCCATCGTCCAAGACGTCGATGGATGTTAGTGATTGGCATCCCATCATCGTCGCAGATTGTTTCGCCCACAGCAGACTTCTTGCTGCCAGTGGCTCGGATGAGTTGGAAGAGCTTCCGGTAATTACCAGATGCAGCTGCTGCTTCCAGCTCATTAGCACGCTCCGACCACCAGGCTTCTCGGTCGTTACGCAAGCTTTTCCCAACTTCATTACGTAACATCCTTCGTTTATGGTCAAACTCACGGTCACCCGGAGTAGACCGACGGGCTTCAATGAGTTGTAAGGAGCCTGAGGAAGGCCAGTGCTTATAAGCGGGACGTTTCGCGAACCCACAACTGACTGTACCCGCCATTTTGATGGGGTCATGCAATTGCAACCAATGCTCATTTATGCTCTTCGGTGGAATAATAGCTAGCCTAGAAACTAGCTCGTTTCGATACTTACTAGCAACAGAAGTTACAACCAGCTTGCTAACATCAATCCGTTGGTGGCGGTCACTTCGTTGTCCACTGAAAAGTAAGGTAAGATTGGCGCAGACCAAGGCATGGTCAGAGTCCAGATATGTACTCCAAAAGGAGCGGCAGTCTTTTACACAACCACGCCAGCGGTAGCTGATCGCGATGTGATCAATCTGAGTCCAGGCTTGAGATGCAGAGTGAGGACGCCAGGTGGCACATCGGCGATGACTGTGCCGAAAGTTAGTGCTAGCCAGAAACAGGTTGTGGTCTGTGCACAGTTGCAGTAGACGGTCCCCGTTATCTGACCTGCGACCAACAAGTCCCCATCGGCCACCTAAACAACTCTCTTCTGTGCCTAGACGCCCGACCTGAGCATTCAAGTCTCCGGCTAGTACTTTAATATCTGTCGAACGCACTTTCTGGAGAAGAACAGATAACTGGTGGTAAAACTCATCCTTGATTGCATCCGGGCTGCAATCTGTCGGGGCATAGGCGATGACGAAAAGACATCGTTTCTCACGCCGATTTCTTCTCACTTTGATGGAACTTTCTAATCTAACAGCACATAACCGACTGTTAATGGGGATCCAATCGATTAGTGCTGCCTCAGCTCTAGCGCTTAGTGCGACACCAACGCCAGCAAGACCAGACGAAGATGCCACAGGGTCCCCGGATAAGCGCACGTAAAACAAGCTTTTCGAAGCGACAGATGGAGAGCGAATTTGTAGTACCACACCAGAGTCTTGAATACGGGTCTCGGATAGACAGCAAACATCGATATTAAGACTTTGCAAAGACATAGCCAGCTCCATCTGTTGTCCAACGTGCATAAGTGTGCGAACGTTGAAGGCAGCCAGTTTGAATGGTGCACGTGGTTTCAGAAAAACTGCTTCAGTACTCATATTCAGTGGTAACATACAATTTTCAACCGGACTGTGGCTCGAGAACGTTTCGATAGAGTCGAATTTTCACCAAAGTCGACCTGCTGTATAAGTCGAAAAAAATAAGTATAAACGTTGGGAATAAAAGAGGGTGAATAATGACGTAGTAAATAATAATAACAATAATAATAATAATAGTAATAATGCGAGTCACTTGATTGTTATTTGGAGCGAGAGGAATATTTTTCAGAAGTAGACAGTTTATCATGTTTTTGTGTGCGGGCTGAGATACTGCCCGGGTGCCCAGACCGAAGCAGAAAATAGCTATCTTCTTACAAGGGCATCAGAAAATTATAGTACAGTTCACCAATTTCTGATAAACACTCGTATTCAAGTTTGTGAACCACATATCACGTAACGATAAATTCAGTTTGATTGATCAAAGTAAATTATCAGGGCCTATTTTCAGTTAATCAGTTTTTAATCATCTAGTCAAAAGATATTCGTGATAAGAATTAGTATTATGAAAGTATATTAATTTCGCTCTCACGTTTCCAGGTACAAAAATATCCACATTAATGCGGAAGTACTATGGGTTTCCTTCGAAATTCTTTGTCTTTTGTTTAAACATACCTCGCATGCCACATTAAACGTACTGGCTGTATGTAAAGGAAATGATGAATGGACGATATTCAAATTAAACGTCAGGCACTATGTAAAATTAATAAATAGCTGGATGATATTTTCATGTTTCGTATAAGTAGTGACCTTTTCAAAGTTCGTTTCGATGTTTATTTCTAAATTATGGCGATTATTTTCGGTATCGTTTACTAGGTAGGTGTTACGTGTTAATCGAAGTTTCTATATTGTTTGGTGCACTTAGGTCTTACATCTTTCCTTTCATTGTTTTTCGATAGGACCTTCAAGACGATTTAGCTGATCTACTCGTCTCAACTGATGAATTACAAAATATTCTCAGTCAGTCCTACGCGACACCCGATATAAATGAAAATGATCTGGAACAAGAATTGATGGGTTTGTGTGATGAGCTAGGTTCTGATACAACGTATTTAAATGAAGACTTTAACGCACCTTCTGTTCCAACGGGGATTCCTGGAGAAAGTTTACCAACTCCAGCCATGGGTACTATGCCGTCTGCTGTAAGTTTTCGGATTTAATTCATTGCCAGGACTTTCGCTTTTCGTTTTTGGACTTAAATGATGTCAGAAAGCACTAGTAATTATGTGTATTTTTAGTTAAACTGCCAAAAGTTTTTTCGCAAGTGATATAACCCAGTTAAATGTTCCAGTGTTCGACAGTTGAACTGATTTAATATGTGTCAGCAGGTAAAGCAACATTGAGAATAATTCAGCAAAACTAAACAGCGTATTTTTCGCCAAATAAATTGGATACTACTGTACTAGTGTGATTAGTTTTCACCCTTTTGCTAGTTTTTTTATGAACAATATCTGTTTTGTTTGAAGAATTTTGTCCATAATGCCCATTCTTTTAGGCTTCTACGAGTGTCTAATATTATGATCTGATAATTTAAGTTTCTGTCGAACAATCTTGGCACACATTCCCCATTATATTTTCATCGAATTAATTAATGGCCTTAGAAAATAAACATCTTATCAGCAACATTCGGAAACTGCAAAATACCTATTTATAATGAAACGCACATTTAAAAGTTGAGTACAGTAGCTCACTAAATCGTTCATTATTTTGTTTTGGGGAAGACAGATATTACTGAGGATCTAAACTACGCATCAACGCCTAAACTAATTGTAAGATGTGCGTCAGTCGCTTCAATTATCTTCAAAATTTCGTCAGCCCTAATGGGCTGGTGTCTGTGTCTCGGCACGAATTCAGAAACCTCGATCGGCTTTCGCCAACTTGTGGCGTAATAAGGATCTATTTGTTAACCAAAGGATGAGTTTACTGTCCAGTAGTTCGTTCTATTCTACATAATGGCTTGAAAACGTTGCCGTAAAAGTTGGAGGATATTCGTAGATTGCTATTGTTCGGTCACGGATGTCTTCGAACAATCGCTCGTATATTTCGGAACTATTAAATTACCAATTTTATGATTAGACGTAAAGTACCAGGTATGAGACATCGATTAGCAAAGTAATGAGCCTTTGTTAACCAAGACATTATGTATTCCCATCCACAAACTACCTCGGTGATGGCTGAAGTAGGGGTAGGTTGTAAACAAGCTAGGATCGACCAAACAAATACAACTCATCTGTCTATGAAGACACTAACTATTGGGCTAAACTATGTAGATGGGTACAGACTATCTTGTAGACTTTCTTCTGTGAGCTGGATGGTTTGGTCGTAAAGCTTTCATCGTTCTTGTGAACGACATCATCAGCACAAGATTCGAGCAGAAGTGAAGTGTTCGAATTTCTCCACATGTGTCTCCCAGCTTGTCATTTTGGCATCGGTCCTGATTGGTTATTGTTGACCCTTGACCTGTCATTGTTTACTTTTTTATTTGGATTGCATCTGTCGTTGATTTGATTTTTAGTCCCATATTTGTCCATAATGTTTTTGATTGGTTGATAAATTGGTTCGATTTCAATGTGCTTGTTGATCGCTGATTGACCTGAGTGCCAAGCTTCCGAATAGTCTCTGGTGTTTTTAGAATTTTCTCTATCCAAGATCTCACCATTTTCCCAGTCGAGTGTATATCCGCAGTTGTCTACTTACATTGATATAAGGAGGATATGTCATGGTGTTCGACCCCTAATTGATGTTCGTTCAGGCGATGATGAGGTAGTCCACCTTGTCCGATGTAGTGTTTTTGGCAGTTGGAACAGTTTATTTTGTGGATGATCTTCGCTTCTTCTTTTGTCATTTCGTTTTTTGGTTTGCATAAGATTGATTGGAGTGATTTTGTTGGTTTGTGTGCTATATCTATTCCAAAAGGCTTTAACAATCTCGTCGCAATTTCTGATATGCCTATATATATATATATATATATATATATATATATATATATATATATATATATATGGTAGAGTAATCAGTTTGTTGGTCTCTGTATCTGATTTTGTTTCTGTTGATGCGTTTGGTTCATATTTTTTGATGAAGTTGATTGGGTAGCCATTCTTTTGAAAGACAGTCTTCAGATATTTTTCCTCATTTTTCCGCGCTGCAAGTGTGTTGCATTGTGTCCTCGCCCCCTTGAATAAAGTTTGTACGCAGTTGATTTTGTGAGTTCTTGGCTTGTCGCTACTGTAATTGAGAATTTGGTCTGTGTAGATCAGCTTCCGACATTTTTGGGTCTCCAGTTTTCCTGTGTCGGTTCTGGTGATTAATACATCCAAGAGTGATAGTTTGTTGTTTGACTCCTGTTCCACTGTAAACTTTATGTCATCGAAGACGTTGTTGATTAGAATGTAGGTGTTTTCCAGCTCGTATTTTTTGATGGTGACGAATGTGTCGTCCACATAATTAATCCCAATATTTGACTTGATCACTGGTAGGGTCGAGTTTCCCAGTCTCTGCATCATTGCTTTTGCAATAATATTGGTGATCTCATCAGTGTTCCTTTCGTTCGTAGATTTTGTTGCTAAATTGGAAATATGTTGTTAAGCAAGAGTCGATGAGTTCTAGTAAATTTTTACTTTGAAGCTTGGTATACGTTGGGAGATCTGTGTCATTTGTTAGCAGTTTTATGTGAGCGGTTGCTTTAACAAGTTGAGCATGCAGTTGTTTGTGTTTTCTTCCGTAAGTGGTTTCGAAATCTTGATTAGTTTGTTTTGTTCTCTGTGTCGTCTGCATGATATCTCGATGGCTGTTGTCAAGACCACCAAATGTTCTAATGTGAGTATCTTCCCTAGCTTCCCCTTTGGGTCATCCATGACGTGTTGGTATTCGCGAATCCTGTAGTGTACATTAGTTATCATTGTGTGAATTTGGTGTTGATCTTGTTGTGCTGATGAGGTGTAGCAACTTGGACCGATGTATATATGTGCCTTGTCCTACCTTGTAACTCACTTCCATCATCGAGATAGTCTGTATATGCGAATTCATAATGTCTTGGTTAATAAGGGTTGATTATTTTGTTTATGGATTCAGAAGAACTATGAAAGCTTCACCACCAAATATTCCAACTCAAAACAGAACACCGAAATCATCCACCTGAGCCACAAATCCTTTCCACCGTCTCACAGGTTATCTGACCTGGGTCCTTGTGACTCTTTATCAATGGTTAGAAATTCTAGGTAACGACTCAAAACCGTTCTCAATGGGGGTAGATGATTCACTTTTTGTCCTTTCTTAGATTGTATGTTTTTGAATCTTTTACAATTTTGTTTTGTTTCGCTTATGTAGATTTTCTTGAATTATATCTTCGATGTACAATTTTTTCGATTTTCATTTTTACTGCTACTCTGGGATTTGGCCTAACAATTTCTGGTCGTTCTGATGTGGCAATTTGGACCGATCTATATATGTTCTGCGTTGTGCCTGACTGAAAATGCAATGTTCAGCAACTTATGTTTAGGTATAGCCTCTGATGACACATACTAAAAATAATGCTTCATGTGATAAGTTACTAGAGAAGTCCAAAATATGGAGCCAGAATATCGAGAACTAATTAAGTTTTTGTTACGGTTTTTGTAGTTATATTATTAATACTACAAATCACGAGAGCAGTTAATATTTCATCATTTTTCTAGGTCATTGCATATTAAATGTGCTGCCTGCTTTTCATTGCGTAATTACGTACTTCTTTTTGTATTGTCTTAATCTTTTTGCAGAACAATATCAAACTGGACGAATTTGGTTTGCCTCAGATTTCGTGAATCACACTTACCTTGATCGCTGACACAACACATATCTTGATTTATTTCAGAAGTGTTTTGTTCTCCAACAGAACATTATCTTCACTCTTACTTCTAATAATATCTTATCTGCAATGATTTTTTAATTTCTTTTGTCAGTGGACGAATTTGTCACACAATGTTCCATCATTCACTAACATTGTAGTATTCTAAGGTTATCAGTAATAGAACTTTGTCAGAGAGGGACAAGCGAGTGTCGATAAACCTTCATTTAGACCCATCGTATCCTCATAATATGTTTCGTTTATATTCACTCAATCCAGTTCATCTTTCAATAACTGAATTGATACAATGCACATTAGATGTCTTGAAATTTTCTCAAAGTCGAAGTAATTCAAACTATTTATGAATAATGTTGAAATGAAATTACTTCAAATCAGAATGCAAGCCTATTTGATTAAATAGACCCCATTTTAGTTAGGACTGAGGGACTGCGTGAAAATTTGTAACATAAGGAAGCGTTACCTGAGGGTTTATTATATGTACTTCTAATCCCTATTTGGTTAACAACTGGGTTATAGTAAATTTTACACTATTTTAAGTGTAAGCTTCCATCCATCCTATTGAGTATTAATGTATCTTTTGGCATTTATAAATAACCAGTAGTTAATTATAAATGTTCCAGTTATGTGCGTATTGAGATTTATTATTTACGCTGCGTTATGGTCTTATATTCTGTGTATGTGATCGACTGAGTTTAAAAGTATAAGTAGTACAAATAATACGAAATATTTGGTTCGTATTAACGCTGTTGTGGTGATTAGCAAACAAACAAGTGAAGAAGAGCATTAGAGCTAACGAGAAGAGATATGTGGAAGACCTAGCAACGACAGCGCACAAAGCTTCAACAGAAGGAAATATGAAACAAATATACGACACAACGAAGAAACTAGCGGGGAAATATAATAAACCATAGAGACCGGTCAAGGACAAAGAAGGCAAGACAATCACTGAGATTCAAGAACAGATGGGGAGAGCACTTTGAGGAACTCGAAGCAACACACACAGACCTACCTATAGATGTCACTCTATTAATTATCAAAGAAATCAGGATGGCCATCAGACGAATCAAGAGTGGGAAAGCAGCAGGGTCTGACAGTATACCAGACGAGGCGGTGAGGTCAGAAACAGAGATACCTGCAAACATACTCTACGTTCTATTCAGAACGAGTTGAGAAAATCAAAAAGTTCCGATAGACTGAAAAGAAGGATACCTCATCAAGATGCCAAGGAAAGATCTGGGCAAATGTGAGAACTGCAGAGGCATCACACTACTATCAGTACCAAGAAAGGTTTTCAATAATGTTGCTGAACTTGATGAAAGATTCGGTAGACGTTCAACTTCGAGGTCAACAGGTCAGATTCCGTAAGTATATGTCGTGCACAGACCAAATCACGACACTATAGATCATTGTTGGACAGTCAGTTGAATGGAACTCGTCAGTATACATCAACTTTCTTGAATATGAGAAAGCATTTGACAGTGGGTAGGAGAACCCCATGGATCCTTTTCTCACACTATGGTGTACCTGAAAAGATCGTCAACATCATGCGGAATTCATACGACCGACTACATTATTTAAAAAAAATACAATCTAACAGTTGTCCGTGTTTGATTTATGAAACTTACTTACGTCAGTTACTCCTCGTAAAAGAGCATAGGCCGCTCGCCAGCATTCTCCATCCAACTCTGTCCTGGACAATCCTTTCCAGCTCCTTCCAGTTGTTATTCATCTTTTTCATGTCTGCTTCTATTTCCCGACATAATGTGTTCTTTGGCCTTCCACTTTTCCGCTTCCCTTCAGGAATCCATGTTGGGGCCTGTCTTGTGATGCAGTTTGGCGATTAGCGTAACGTATGTCCTATCCATTTCCATCTTCTTTTCCTAATTTTTTAGCGAGTTAGGTTTCTACGGGATTGGGTCGCTAACCCCATGCCCAACTGTTGGGGTTATCCAGAAAATTGCTTGCAAAAGACAAGCAAGCATCAAGAAACACTAAGAAGCGTTTCGTCCAATCAGCGTTCACTTGGAGTCTTGGCCAGAAATATCAAGGAAGCGGAACGTCACATGCAGAGGCTCTGATTGGTTGGCTCCTACACTGCTACTATGTTTAGTAGCATTCCAGAATATTCCAGCGACCTAAGGACATTTAAAATATTATAAAAACCCTATATTTTCTGTAATAAAATGAACCTTGGAGTAAACTACTTCTCGCATACCTTGAGTCTTCTCTCTCGTGTTCAGATCGCTGTCTAGTTCTAGCTTGGGGGTTACAGGATAGCTTAGGAGACGAATATAGCGTTCAAATCTGCAAGACTTATCACCAACCCTCGTTTACCCGGGCTTGGGACCGGCAGTAACTCTAGAAGAACTAAAGGCGGAGTGGCTGAACATATTTCTTTCGGGTGCAAAGCGGATTTTTGATTTATGAGAAGTATCCAGTAATTATGAAGTCAGTGATAATTGACTTGATTAACTTTCTCACAATATTTCGCTCATCGTTTAAGCATAAATCTTGCTAATGAGATTGTATTAGCGCACCCAAGGTGTGAATTATACTCCAACACTTGTCACTAATTAGTAGGTAGTACTGAAATCCATTTCTTATTGCTGATCGGAATTCATTTTAACTATCCTTTAGTTTGGCTCTACGGTATATCAATTTTTGTATACAAATGTCTTATATATTTATAGTTCAATTAATAATTTTGTATGTTTGTTTTGCTGAGAAGGGTCAATACATATATCTCTTCAGTAGCCTTTCTTTGAATTTCTAATATACTAGTGTGAAATTGTGTAGGATGTATTTATTTGGTGACTACCAAACTTCATATATAAATCCCCAGACGACGATGAGAATCATCATATTTAAAAATAAAATACTACTAAAAAAGGAAATCGTATTTAAACTTCTGAAAGTAAAATCCTAGCTATGCGCAATTGATACAGAAAACTACGCTGATTTAGTAATCTTACCGGGGAAGCTATCGTCCAAAACCTCTTATCAAGGGATGTACTCTTGTGAAGAGTGCTTATAGACAACTATAATTGTATTACAAACAATCGTTGGGCTATTCCAGTGCATATAAAAGCAATAATCGTTTGTTTGGGAACCAATCAAACAATATTTAGTCCAATGAGTATGTGTGCAGTTTATTTTGCGTAATTTAAAGTATATCAGTCTTATATTTTCCACTTATGGGAATACGCCTATTCTACCTATTTTTCATTTGTTCAAAATGTTTCTGGAAATCCTGAGAAGTCAGCTGCTAACCCACTCCATGCTTTTCTCAACATCGAACGTTTTGTTGGAATCGTGTACACATATGACCATACAAGAATCCATTTATTTTCAATCATCCAAACAGTAAACCAGATGTTAACAGGCATTAAAGTAAACTTTTCACCATCAGATATCGATAGCTGCCTTTACCTTTATTCAGTACATTTCGTGGATTTGTTGTTGGTGTACTTGCTTCAAGTAACAATTCCTCATTAAAACCAAATTTATCACTTTTCCCAAAGGCTTTGGAACTGTTAATTTTTATGTTTCTTCGTTTTTCGCTAGACTATAATTTTCACCATATCTAGTTTAAATATTATTGCTTTCACTTCTCCAAAAATCGTATTGAGTTGCTCTTTTGAAAATCTACAAACAAATAATAAACTATAAATACTCTTGACATCAGTGGTTCGGAAATGAATAGGAATCAACAGAGGGATTCGAACTTTGGTATTATATTATGAATTCTCCATAATTATATTTTGTCGGTCAGTGACAGCAAAAAAGTATCTGGAGAAATATTATACAATATCCTCCTTTTGTTCATATACTTAGATGAAACACAAGTGATCCCGGGTCACCCAATTATATTGTCTTCAACAATCAAGAGTAGAACCACATAGTTCATTAAAGACAGTTATTAACAATTTCAGATTTTGTAGATTTGTTGTCAGATACGTGTACACTGACTAAAAGAGAGGTGAATTAAACACTGAAGTAATAATATCAAGGTAAAATCATGACAATTGGTTCAGAAATTATCCACCAGATGTTTTTGATCTTCCATTTCCACTACCGTTTAAGAAAGCACAAGATGAAAGTTTGGGGGTCTAACATATCATCCGCACAAAGTTCTGAAATTGAAATGGCTGGTTCCTATTCCACAATGAAAATGCCCCCAATGGCTTTGTAAACAATCCGGATTGGGCTATTTAAATATATTGGGTTTCCGCTATTTTATCCAGAATGTGCTTACATTTACACCAAAGTGAAGTATACGAAATAGTTATTATGGGGTTATTTATAACACATTTCAAATAAACGAAATGAACTATTTCAATTTTTTAGAGAGAATCTATTTTATTTTTAAATGCATCGATTACACGAGTAATAATTAGAAAAAGAAGTGAAAAATCCAACCTGAGAACATATTTTAAGATAAAACTTAACAGGTAGTAATCAGAAAAGGTGTAAAAAAATAAATGAAAATATTGAATTACAGGGTATGTTCAAATGCAAAGACACACAGGGTAGAAAATAATTTCATCAAAAATATTATCTTATCAATAGAAATATAACCCAGTAAAAACAAAAACATTAGGGAGAAATTTCATTTAACTCGTAAGTCCCTGAACATATTTGATAGTCCATTTTCAACATTATGATTTCGATTATTTTCATCTGGAGTTCTAGACAACTGATACTTTTCTAGTTCACAAGGCATTTTAGTTACATTATTGGAAGAACAATGCGGCAGAAGACGTTTATCATATTGTGCAGCTAAACTGGGTCGAAGCATACGACCTTTAGGTGTATTAATGAGTAATTCAAACTTCGAACGACAATGACCACAAATCTATTAAAAGATAAGTACACTAGAATAAATGTTTGAAATCACTATTTAATTAGTTTATATGCACTTACGAAACATTACAATATAATCGGATTTAGAGACTT